AAGGCATGTTGGTGGGATTGAGGAGGTCTTCAAAGTATTCCGCCCACCGGCCGGCACACAACGTCACGAGTTGAGGTAAGCAGCACACCATCCACACCATAAACAGTGTTGGTGCTGCACTGCTTCCCCCCCCTGAGACGCCGGATGGTGGACCAGAATCGCCTTGAAGCCGTGCGGAAGTCTTTCTCCATGGCCTCTCCAAACTCCTCCCACGCCCGGGTTTTTGCCTCAGCGACCACCCGAGCCGCGTAAAATCTACCTCTACGATTAAATTCCGTCCCCCTGCCCCTAGTAGGTGGGTATTGATGCTGAAATTTTTGAGCCTGATTAGTGTTCAGCCCCCCTGCCCCAGGTACCAAAATACCTGGCTGTGGCCCTGCCTGAGGCAGTTCTACAAATTGAGGCATTTGTACTGCACTTTTTTCTTTTGCTTCGTTCACTTTATCCCTCAGATCTTTCAGCTTAGCTTTTGCTAACTGTGCCTCCAAGGATCGCATTTCTTGTTGTTCAGCTTGTTTGTTTTTCACCTATTTATCAATAAAATGAACCACATGATCACTCCACAGATCATAATCTAATCTGTCCAAACTGACAACACACTCCAGTTCCTTTCTGACCTGATCAGTCTGAGACCTGAGCACAGCCGCCTCAAACATCACTCAACTCGGCCTGTCATAAGCCGGATCCACACCAATTTTAGACTCCCACAGCTCTCTGACCCTCGCCAAATAAGCTGACCCTCTCTCATCCTCTCGTGGCGGAATATTATTCAACTCAACAGACTCCATGTTTATCAGAAACCTGTCTCTAATCCTCTGCCATAACGCATGTACCTACCGTTCCAAAGGTTTGTCATCTGCAATACCAAATGTAGCAACTGCAGCTTGCAATTCTGTCAATGCACCCCAGCTCGTACAAGCACAATACACATGTCTGAAATCCCCAAGAGTTGGAATCATACCAGCACAAGCCTCTAAAAATGCCTTAATCCACAACGCCCCTCCAGCATTTAAATCAGGTAACTTTTGTTTAATCAGCTGTGTCCTGCATTGAAAATGATTTGTAAGTGACAATCGCACGTCCTGCTTCATCTGTGGAAGTCAAAAGTGGAAACATGCCTCCCCATGGCTTAATACCCATACATGAGTGTATATTAGATTTAACCTGCCTATCATCTCTGTGTTGTGGCCACTGCGGCTGTCTATTATGGTGTGCCCTTTTCCCTTAACCGTAGAATCCGGCCTGACCCCATGCGCCTGCACAGCTCCCTGTAAGCATCCACTAGACTAGATCTGCCACCTGTACAGTTTGTTTTGTCTCAGTGGTGCCACCCTGAGAGGATGCGACCTCGTCAGCCATGTCACAGTGTTCTGTCTGAGTCTTGTTTTCATCTTGGTCAGACGTCAAGGTCTTGTTTCCCCATCACTGCTGCAGTTCAGAATGTCTTTCATTATTCTAAACATGCATCTCCAATATTTATAAGTCCTTTCCTTTTCAGGAGCCATCTTAGATTTTAAAATAGTTTTGGCTTCATCTGCCATAATGGACTGTTGCCATGAATGTTCCAGTTTACAAACAACTCTGTCTATTGCTGCAGGTGAGGGCGCTGCTAGGTCAAATAAGTCTCCGTTATCAATAAACCTTGGCACATCCTATCAAAAACATATTTTTCCGTCTTCTCATTTTTAGACTCAACATCTTCCAGACAAACCTGAAACGTTTTACACAACACCACACCCAGAGAACCATCCTGGTATTTTTGCAAATCTTCCACAAATTTCTCAGACATATTTATAATTTATTCACGTGACCACAGCACAGGAAATCAGGCGCAATGCCCAGCAGGCAATGACCCTGACATCGACTACTCTTATAGCAGTCCACGTCAGTACCACCTGCTGTTTGTAAGATCACCGGGCTGCAGTCACCCTAAATCTATAATAACACAAAAAACCCAAAAATCTCTCTATTCCCACCCACAGATGCCCCACAGGATCCACCAGTGGCCACTTCAGTGCCAGACTTCTTAGAACAGAATACTTTTATTCTGAATCAATACATGACACATCCGTGTGAATTGACACCTACTGAATGGAGAACCACCCCACACAAACACAATGACACAAAAAGGGATGGCAACAAAGAGAGTGTTTGACTTTTGGATTTTTTCCCAATGCATCCGTATCTGACCTCTACATAAGGATTTCTATGCACACGGAATCTGCCACCAGCAAGTCTCAAAATAAGACTCATGGATTTTTCCTCCCCATGGGCACTTCTAACTGCCCTTTAGGCATGCCACCACACAATCTTAATTTGACCCCACCCAGACAAGTGTCGTCCTTTAAAGAAGACGCACCCAGGATTTCAGAAAGAGCTCATGAAAAGGCCTAACGAAAGAGTACTATATTTACACGCAAAACGCACCAAAACATATATATTAAAACACATATTTTTCTTCCTAAATGGCCCAATTTATTGTATGGTGTTAAACCCCGACAGACTGTTATGTTCAAACACTTTTAAACCGTCTTTGTAACCGTCTGCATTAATCCGCGTTTGTTTTGACTATGCTCAATACCACGCTGCCTTTGCTGAGCTGACATACAGACTTAGCTCAGCAAAGCTAACACTTAGCGGGGCTCCTCTAACCCCCAGCTCCACGCGCGAGCCGGTGGAAAAACAGATCGTCATTCAGTCCTGTCTGTTTATCAAAATGGAAAGGAAAAGTGATTTTGCTCACCTGTTGTTTGGTGCCCAGAACCAAGGATGACCCAGCCCCCCACCCCACCCCTCCGCTAGGCGCAGCAGCAGAGAGAACAAGGTAGCTCCTGCCTCAACTTGCAGTCTGCGTCGGGGTCACCAAAACTGTAAGAAAATTTGTATTCAATAAACTGAAGTCGAGATGATAAACACAAATGTTAAATAAAATGATTTGTAGGAGGAATGAAACCATACAACACCAGAACTCTGGAATCGAGTGGAGGTTTATTACTGCGTCTGAAGACAGGAAACCCACACTGCCCATAAAACCGGAAGTTTTGGATTGATTAATTCAAGGCCTTTTAAGACTTTTAAAGGTGTGAGGATGTGTGTTTTGTCAGTCTGTGTTATCTCCCTCTTGTGTTCCCTCATTGTTATCACACATTCCCCTCAATCTGGTTCCTGCTGTTTAATCATCCTCACCTGTTGTCATCTCCAATCAGTCCTACTCCCAGGTGTTCCTCATTTCCTCATTTCTCAGTCTGTATAAATACCCTTCTCTTCAGATCATTCCTCGCTGGATCATTACTTGGATTACTCCTACTGTTTTGTTGTCCTTGTTGTCCCTCAGAGTTTTAGTTTTATTTTTGCTGCCCTGACAGCTCTTTGTTTTGTTTGTTTAAATAAATCTTTTTATTTAAATCTCATCCTCCGTCCGGATTTGGGTTCATTCTGCACCTCAACCTAACAAAAGGATGCACAGGAACCCTGATCAATGTATATTAACTGTTCATATATGTAGTGTTTCTTCTGTTTAGTGTCGTGCATTTTTCTTGAAATAAAATACCTATAGATTTTGAGGCATTTATTTTCCTGTGCTTTGACAAAGATATATCCATGACGTGCATGGTGAGGCATTCTTTGTATTGAGCTGTGTGTTTCCTGATTGTCTGAGGCATTTTGGTAAAGTCACCTGCTTCGATCATGATTGGCTGGCAGCACTAAACACAACCACTCTCAACCACTCTCACCTGTTCTGGATCTGGCTCATCAGCCATCAGGCTTCATAAGGCTGTTTGGTGGATCAGACCTTCGCTGGAGCATTGCTTACTCTTGGGTAAAGCATCTTAGCCATAAGCTACTCCTGTTTACCAGAGTTTGTGACAGTAATGTCAAATTTATTTATGTTGAAGAGATACAATTAGAAAATCCCAAATCATTTTATCAATCAAAATTCATTTAGTACATCTGTTTAAATCATATCTTAAGCCAATGTTTGATATCTAATTTTTATTGTCATTAACCTAAATATTAATCAAATGAGCCCTTGTGGGTTGTGCAGGTGTTGGGTCAGTATTTCCTTCTCTGACCACAATATAAAGCAGATATTTAGAACTAATAAAAAAAAACTATGCATTAAAAATGCAATAATAACTAATAAAAACTAGCAAATCCACTGTAAAAACTAATTAAAACTAACCAAATTAAAAG